GAGAAATTTTATCCCATGTTTTAGCTTGTTACTCATTTAATACTTCAGAAAATGAAAACGATAAAATCACCAATAAAGGGTTAACAGCAATGTGGTGTAGATGTAGTTTACTTGAGACAGCGAAAATTAATAAAGTGCATTTAAAATATTGGGTGTTTTTCCACAGGTATTCACATACTCCTGGGCTGAAAAACTATGACAGTTTTGATTTAGGAAACAACTCAAAAATACTGTCAGCAAATTTTAACAACTAAGCTATTTTCAGATTCTTGTCTGTTACAAAGTTGGTGTCTCTTATACACACTTGATACTTTTGATTTACAGTTATTTCAGACTGGGAAGGTGAAAGGTTTCTTACCGCCGAGCGATGTAGTAGAAAACAGGATTGCCAACTTTGGATGTCCCAGCTTGGTAGAAAATATTTAACGTTTTCAGTGCTTTGAACTCCTCCTTTTCATGTACCTGATGCCTAAAAAGCAATATATGGACATCAACTTTCACAACTACCTTTCAAAAAAGTAAAATAATAAAAAATAAAAACCAACCAAATCCTCTTTACTTGCACCTTTAAACAAAAATATTAAGTTCACATAATCTTAAGCCTTCATTAAATCACAAATGTTAATACCATCTCCAGTGCCCAGTTTAGTTTTTTTAATTAAAATCTACTCAGAAATCTAAAAGCTTTACACAGACTTGGTTTTTTAAACTCCCCTTTGAAACAACAGCAGGAGCCTCAATAACTGCTCACAGCCCCACACATGGTAAAGTCTAGAAGCCCCCACTGCATGTCCCCACCACAACACTCTCATTACCTCGTCATAAACTCTTCAAATTTGGAACTGGTGAGATTTAAACTGGACCAATGTGTATCTGCCACAGGTTTGTGCTCAGGAGGCCCCAGGTAGGCAAGAAGAGTGGCCATCTTGTCAAAAGGTCGCCGTCCAACAGCCTTGTGGTCCCTGCAAACAGCAGACTCCTTGTAAGAAAAGTGCTTTACTCAGCAATTCCTACTTTTTTCAAAAAAAATACAAAGAGTATTCAATGAAGACTGATATCCTTCTCAGTAATAATAACAGAAGCATAGGAGAGTATTTCCAAATATTAACAGCTTTAAGCTGAGGAGGCTAAATTTAGACCGGATATTAGGAATAACTTCTTCCCTGTGAGGGTGGTGGGATACTGGCACAGGTTTCCCAGAGAAGCTGAGGTTGCCCCATCCTGGAAGTGCCCAAGGCCAGGCTGGACAGGGCTTGGAGCAACCTGGGACAGTGGAAGGTGTCCCTGCCCATGGCAGGGGGTGGAGCGAGATGAGCTCTAAGGTCTTTTCCAACCCAAACCAGTCCATGATTCTATGGTACATTTCCCATCAGCAACTCCCCTCCTCCCCCCTCTGAAGCCTCACCTGTTGCTGGACAGGTACTGGCCGATCTTCTCCTGGTTGTTCCACAGCAGCCGGTGCAGGGCCAGGACGTTGCCGTCGCTGATGAAGGACAGGCTGTGGTTGACGGTGTCACTCGCTGGGCAGTCGGACGCGATGTCAAGGAAAAACCTGGAATTCACACCCAGGAACAGCCATCAGTGTGTGAGAGAAACCTCCCAAGGAGACTCCAGGTAAATGAAAGGGCTGTGAGGGCACTCTCAGCTCCCTCTGCACACTCTGGGAGCGTCCCCAGGCCTCACCTTCGTGCTGCGTCAAAGTTGCTTTTCACAAAATCATTAAAAGGCCGCATATGCTCTTCTTTTGTAAACAGGACGTGGTTGGCAATACTCTGAAGTATCTAAAGAATAAAAAGACAGCAAAGACACAAAGGTTTAATGTAGTAACTGTTACAGTAATTAAAAGTTAAACTGTTTCTGCCAGAAAACAAAAAGGCCAATAAGCCAATTAATTTAAAACACATTCACTTTCAAAGTCTTTTCTTTCTCCTACTTTTAAATACTAGAAAACCACTTCACTTATTTATGAATTTTACTCAAGTTAAATCGGGAAAATAAATCATCTTTCAAACCACCATTTATTAAATGTTAACTATTTTTCCTAGAAGTTAGACAGGCAAGTCAAATCAATAGCACATACCTATTTTAAGAAAAATATAACTCCTCAACATTTAAAATGGATAATATGTACAGGGCAAAGAATTTGTGTGCCATCACTAAACCTTTTTTTCATTTTTACAAGAGATGTGACCAAATGAGATTAAAGACAGGAAAAATCCTTTCTTTAGCAGTGGTATGAACTCAGTCAGTGCCGGCTGTTCCCCTCACTGTGCTCACAGCAACACCAGTCACTTGTTTGTTTCCAAATGAGAAGTTCAAGTGGAGGGCTGGAGTCCTGCTCTCTTCTCCACCATTTTGGCGAGGTGTTTTTCCCCTCACAGGTGTTTTTCCCCACATAGCCTGTTCCTGAACCTCCTTACCCTGCTGGGAGCTCTAACATCAATGCCACGGTGTTTAAATGCACCTTCGATAAACTACAAGTTTTCCTACGTTTTCACATACCCATCAGAGAACAGAACTGAAGCAGGCAGAGAATAAAGCACGGGCACGTAAAAACACCCCCGGGCTCACCTTTGACATGAGCTTCAGGCCCCTCTCGATCCTGGGCGGGGGCTTCTTGTCCAGGATGCCGGCCTCGTACGGGGACACGATGGTGGGGTTGATGAAGCGCAGGAACATGGCGCTGCCCACGGCGCTGATGCTGTTCTGAGGGAAGCGCTGGCTCACCACCTGCGCGTGAGGCACAGAGAACACGCCGCCGTGAGGGCAGGGAGGGCTCTGGCAAAGCCTGCACGGTAAGCCAAGCCTAAGCATTCCTTCCACACCAGCCATGCTCAGAACATTGGGGTGGGCTCTGCTGCACCGCAGAGGACCAGAACAGAGGGGAAGGACTGAGGGGCAGGGGGGTCTCACACCAGCTGCCTTCACCTCAGCTGCTGCACAGCCTTCCCTGACAGGGGAAACGGCTACGACAGCTCCTGCACAGCGTCTGGGAGCTGCTATCCCAGGCCTTGACAGACTCTGGGAGCTGCTGCCCCTCCATCCCATGCCCTGCCAGACTCTGGGAGCTGCTGCCCCTCCATCCCATGCCCTGCCAGA